AAGTACCAAGCAAATTCCTGTATCTATCCCCCCTGCAAGGCGGATAGGTACAGGCCACAGATTACCTCCTAATAGATTCCGCATACAGGGCCACAAACGCGCGCAACACATACTTGCTTTAGCTAGCATATGAAGTGACGCTAAGAATCACGATATCATTGTGGACCAAGTTTGTGACCCGTAGACACGTCCGAGTTTCGGACAGTCCGAAAAATAATTCTGGGACCCAAAATACATTACAAATGGCTTCCTATGCAGTGAAATAGTGTGGCAAGTCAGCTAAGACATCCAGTTATCAAAAAGATAGCATAAAATTTATCGGTAAGTAAATTTCACTCTTATCACGTTAACCTATTTCAAATGCACCGGAGTTCAACTTACACTGGATATTAAATGTTGCAAAGTGATATCATTTGAGCACCCGTTGATGTCTTTTTTAATATGTCCCTTTCACTCATTACGTAAATTAAAATAGTTGTCTTTGTCTAACGACAGCACGTGTATCGATAGTGTTGTGATTTATAAGTCGATATTTGTTTGGTCATCGTTTACGTTTCTTTTATAGTCATTATTTTATACAAATAGTGGCGTATAATTGTGGTACCTATACGTTATAGGTTTCCTAAATGCCCCGAAAGGAAAAGATGTGGATCGACGCTACATGTCGAGGGGACCAATGGTTTCCCACCAAAAATAGTGTGCTATGCTCAAGACATTACACAGAAGACAATCTTCATATTATGAAAAACCGTAGAAAGCTGTTGGATTCCGCTATACCATCTCTATACTTGCCAGTTTTAGTATGGACTTTTGTATTTAAAAAAAGTATCGTATTAAAAATAAGTACCAATGTTGAAAATTACACAATAAGTAATAGCATTAAGTGTTTGATTGAAAGGTGATATTCTAATATTTAGGCGAATTTTACACGTCGAAATTAAACTATTTTTAACGGATTTATAAACCATAAAGCTAGTTAGTGAGCTGTTGAGCAGATTTAACATTAACGTACCTCGGAGACCTCCTCGCAACCCATGTCCTTTCTTTAGGACTGACAGCACTCGAACAAAACTTGGACAGAATTCCCCAATAACATGTATATAACGCGTATACAATGTATGTGTAAAAAATATAGCAACACTGGACATTGGTTGTGACGGGCTCACACTTTTTATGAAAAAATGTAACGACTGTTTAGAAAATTAATTATTCACTAACTTTATGCCAAACTTAACTTTTATTTATGTTATAAAAACTATTAACTTTCTTTTGTTCGTAAAACTTATTTTTGTTCCAACTACTATTAAAATAGGCAAATTATAAACACTGCTATTGTTTTAGAATGATGTGTTCTCCTATAATTGGTAGTACATAGTAATTTATAGATGTAAAGCATGTGTTAGAAGTAATTTAATATGTACAACTGTTGGAGATCCATAAATATAAATAAATAAATAAATAAAACAAGAGAAAGTTATAATCTGATTAATGTTATTCTAGTGAACAAGTCATGAACTTCAGTAATATCCTATTATTATTACACACATTTAAGTACATCTAAACTTGAAAAACGTACCGTATGGTTTTTTAATTAATAATACTACTTTTAGGTGCAACACTAGGCAAAAATACTGTCACCACCGAAAGGACATACCAGAACACACACAAAGGATTCACACCATTTTATTAGTGAGATAAAAAACCTACATCTCGCTGACAATGAAACTATGATCAGTTTTGGTGTTGAGTCACTATTCACATGCCAACCTATTGAAGACTGCTTCTCAATTGTAACTAGGAAGCTACAAGATAACAACATGCCTGCAGAATATGCAGTATTACTCAAACACTGCTTCACATCTGAGTATCTATTGTAGAAGGAAGAGTTCTACAAGTTAATGGTGTAACGATGGGCTTACCTGTATTTCCTATAGTCGCCGACATATATTATAGAGGATTATGAGGAGAAATCCTTCTTACTGCTCCTATAAATCCAAGATTATACAAGCGGTACGTAGGCGACATTTTCAAAATTTTACCGTCTGACAAAGCAACTGCAATTTTAGACCACCTTAACTCCATAAGCTTCAAAATACAAATCACGATGGAGTTAGAAGCAAATAATACTTTAACTTTCCTAGATGTTTTAGTCATCCGAAATCCTGATAACACTATTGGCCATATATACACTTTGTATAGGAAAAAGGCCTATAGCATCCGATATTTCAATGGTGAATCTCACCATCATTCTTCATAGTTTGCTACTGTGGGTAAATATTTGTTTCAGAGAGCAGAATACATCTGGCTGCCGAGATTCAGCATGTCAATCAAGTATTGCAAGACAACAAGCTTTGGTGGATGGGTGCTGCCATCTGCTTGGGATCCTATAATTAACCAAATCTATCCAAAACCAAGCATACCACTGCAAGACTTCAAGATACTGTAAGCTCGTTTTATGTAGATCGGGACCAAAAATCGATATTCAAAAAACGAAGATAGCCGGGCTAACTATGACATTGAGATGTCAAACATTTAATGCCCCCCCCCCCGTGACCATAAATTAATTAATTTATATATTTTAAACGCGATAAAATCAATATAATTATATAGTTTTATTCAATGTGTAGTGTTCGCGTAAATTTAAGAAATCATTAGATTACATGTACAAATATATATATATATATATATATATATATATATATATATATATATATATATATATATATATATATATATATTAATATATATAGGTATGTATATATATATATATTATATATATATATATAGATGTATATATATATATATACATATATATATACATTCTTTTATTCATATACACTTTAATTTTTCAATAAATTTCAAATAAAAATTGATCAATTCATTTATTAATCAATAATCAATATATCCCAAATTTAACGATCAACGTCCCAACCCTGTTCCATCACTATGGTTCCGAGCATTCTAAGTTCAACCTTGAATTATCCAATCACAGTGCATTTGACACGTCCTCCGCAACCCGAAATTTGGTGAAATCGAAACAGAACAAATATTCCATGATGCGGTATCTATTAGCACTTCCCAATGTAAAATAAAGAAGAGGGTTTCAGTCACGTCGGCCAAGTTAAACGGATAATAGCCACCTGTGAAGAACAGAACAAGCGCAAGCGCCCCTCATTCACTCACTCCTGTAGTCCATAAAAAGGTTATCTGACAAGATCTTAGAGCAATCAAGAGCAGGACCAACGGCTCCACGTTCTTTTCAAGGGACGGGGGTAGACAATGCTAACATTCTGACTTCGAACTCCTATCCTTTTTTTTACAGAATATAAGTGACAAACGAGCACATAGTCCACCTAATGGTAAGTGGATTCTGTGGCCCATACACACCTACATCTATCGTCGATTAGGAATCAAAATGCAGGTGAATTATCACTCCTGTGGATTAAGATGGAATGCCTCATTCCGAGTGAAAAGAGCTTCCGGTACTCTACATTCACCAAATGAAACACAGCAGCTTTAAACTGCCCTTTCTAGCTGGTATTCCGTAAGAGTATGGTCTTACCCCGGTAGAGCTGAATCATTCGTGCTACAACGAATATAGCTGTAGCGTGGATCCAACACATAAATTTCTTGACAGAAGCACCTAAGAACTGATTTGACCTGGGATTCGAATCCGGAAGCTGATAACCAGCCACACGGTTTATGACTACGAGATGAACGAATAATTCTACGTATAATTAGAAGCTATGAGCTACTGCAATAAGTTTTAGAGGATTGATAATACACGAGCATGTTAATAATAGGTTTCTCTAGTATACTCTACGTATGCATAAATTTCCATTAAGTGGGTAGGATATTAACTGGATTGATACTTTAATACAAAAAGTGAAAAATTCCTCCGTCCTCACTGCGATGGCTTCGAAAATGAATTTTTAGGTAATATGATGAAATTAATTGAAATTACGTGTGGTGGTGGCGCAAGAGAATTCATCACCCTATTTAGTCCAATGGATGATGTAAAAGATGACTATAGAACGACCCAGAAGATTGTGAGACTAGCGACGCGAAGTAGCGACAGAAGTGGAAAACTGCTCTTATTATCCGTCAAAGGTTACACCACCTCCGACAGGAGTGGTTTATCCATTCACTAGAGCCTACAAAAGTCCGCAGCTGAACATTGGCCTTCCTCATAGATTACCTCATAGTCGCTATATTTGTACGCTTGGCAAGCGGGTCGTCAACATAGAATTATAGACGGAGATGCAAGCAGCATCCTAAGAGGTATTGGGTTCATCCTTTTTTAAAGATCGGTCCTCATCAAGAAAAAAAAAATCTGAAAAATGTATACTAAACCTCAGAAATGATGAACGGTTGTTTTTTTAATTATTTCTACATGTCAATAACTACCTTTGATGATTTACTATCACGACTAGAGAATTCCAGTTTTTATGTTTTTCATTACATTAATAACTCCAAGTTGAAATTCTATTATTTGATCGTCGTTGAATTTATCTAGTATTGAAATTAATCCGTAAAAAATGAGACATTTCTGTTGATTGGTTCAACTAGAGATGAATCCATAAATTTAATCATTTTAGCGTCCATAGGAGATAAATTTGATCTCAATCTTTTTCGCACAGGTGCCTTTTGTTTTACAGCTGTTATATTTATTGAATTACAATATTTACAATTAATTTTCTTAAAACACAATAAAAATAAAAAAGAAACTAATATAGGAAAACTAAAATTACAAATTCAAACAGTCAAAAAGTCCTGCTTACCGTGTTATAGTGCCAAGAACGCTGGCTGCGTTTCCGCGATGAATAGCTGTATTTAGCCTTTGAGCGAGCCCACCAGCAACCAGCCCTCTTGTTACCAGAAGCGACGACCAGTCGCTTTACACACAGTTCCTTTAGGAACTTCACCGCACGTGGACCCCACGGACCGATGGTCTCTAAAGCAAATGGCACAAATATGTAGTCATTTCTCAAAGACTCGCTTTACTTGTGTTTGTTTGTAAATGTGTCATCAGATTTAGAACTAGTGCCAGCATCAGCAGTATCCTCTTCATTTATATCCGAAATTGCTTTAACATCAGCACTATTAATATCAGCAGTATTGTCTTTATTCTTAGCTTCCAAGAGTTGAATACTGGATGCTGATATATTAGGCTGTATGTTTTTTTTAAAGAAATAACAGTTATTTGTGGTATACATAATGGTTGGCTAGTTTTGCACCACATTCAGAAATTTTTTGATGTTTTATTTTTTTCTTACTTGATAAAATTATTCATGATATGCGTCCATTTTTAACACTTTTTTGACTAAAACAGTAAAATCTGAATAAATAATTTATTAACGTTTTTAATGATGTTTTCTTCTTTCAGGTACTTGGCAACAGATTGTGCGATGAAAGAACTTCATTATAATTTTAGAGTGGGCACTTCAAAAATAAGTCGAATTATAAATGATGTTTGCCCGACGCTATGGAATATTTTAACAGACAAACTTCTATAATACCAACTATAACTCAATGAGAAGAAATCGCTATATTATATTATTATTATGTTTTCAACAAAAGACAAATTTTCCTCATTGCCTAGTAGGAGCTATTGGCCGAAAACATATACGAACTAAGAAACCGAAATATAGTGGATCTCTGTATTGTAATTATATGAATTCGAATTATAGATTTGTATACGTAGACATAAGTTCATACGGAAAACTTTTGCGATTCCTTTATTTTGAAAAATTCTCATTTTGGAAGAAACTAAATGGTTCTTTATCAATACCAGAACCCAAACCATTGTTGGAGTCTGGCCATTTTGTTTCCTTTATGTTAGTAGGAGATGAACCATTTTTGCTTTATACAATAACTTGTTACGTTCCTTCAGAGGAATCCACTTATGAACGCAAAAAAAATCAAATATTGCTTGATCCCTGCTACAGGATATGTCGAATGTGCGTTTGTAATCATGGCAACAAAATGTAAAATCCTACAAAGGGCCATTGATACTTCAACTTCTTTAACCATTAATATTGTAAAAGCTTGTATAATAATGCATAACTTAGTCCGCAAATATGACGGTATTAATTTTGATGAATTAGAGTTATGACAATGAACAGTTTGCGAAGAGAACGAAAATCAAGCGGAGGATTTGAAGCTACTAATATTCGCTCGAAATTTGCTGATTACTTTGTATTTCCTGAGGGGTCTGTTTAGTGGTAAAATCAAAACATTTATTTTTTAACAATACATATTCCGTACTCACCACATTCTTGTCTTTTCTTTTCGTCCCAAGTCTCGAAATACGGATATACTACATGTAACAAAAACCCTGTGGTTCCCGTTAAGTGCGTTATCAGAATCAGTATTCTAATATATAGAAATAACTTTTTTTTTTGAGAAAACTCGACCACAATTTTTTTAATTATTTAATTAAAATAAAATTTTATTTGCAGATTTTATGTTGTTTTATTATCTCTTACTGACACGCGCATCAGTAAAGCGAGGTATTGGGAAATCGTTTTATTTCCCGGACATTGAAGAGTAATAAAACCACATACAATCTGCAAATTAAAATTTATTTTAAATTAAATTCAAATATGATCACATCCCCGAATTTTGCAAACAGCTCAAATGGTTTCCGCCTTCGTAGGAATACTCACATTCTCTCCACGTTGTATAGCGTGCTGTTTAATCCTTCCACTCCTCATTATTAAAAAAAAAAACGTTTCCAGTATCTTTCCCTTACCCATAATCGGTTCCTTCGATCCTCCGTCAATCTTTCTCTCTCAACACCATTGCACTCTTCTTCCTTTTTTAAGAAATCCTTTACCGTAACCGCTGTGCGATTGTTTCTCGGAGAGGAAGTCTTTACCTCTCCATATTCGTCGTGCTAAATCTCTTCACTCTTTCAAAAGTCTTATTAAATCGTATTACTTAGAATGCTATTAGATAAATTACTTTTCTTTCTCGCACCCTTTTCATTTAATCTATTATATGATATTTTATAAATAATTTTCACTTATCTTTATTTGTATGTATTTTTATATATTTTTTGTTATTATTTTGTACGCTCCCCTGTATTTTAACTTTTGTTTTTCATCAGTTCTCTACGCAAAGGTTGTCTGGAAGAAATCACTTTCAGAGTGATAATACTGCCTATTGTATATATTCTAATTTAGATTTAACTGTATTTGATGTTTTGTATTTTGGTGTACAATAAAGAGTAAAGTTTCTAACAAAAGTTATTTCTATACTAATTCTGATAATGCACTTAACGGGAACCACAGGGTTTTTGTTGCATATTGTATAATCAATAAAATTTCTTTCTAAGAATTTAGGTGGCAATTTTATTTTTATAATGGTCCAATAATTTGTACCATAACATCCGTCGACCTTCAATCAAGGAAATAAAATCTTCGATCTATATTGAATTCTGTCCTCCATATTGACAACCGACTGATATAATGCACAACAACAATTGCGGGCATGCGCGCGAGTGCATACGATACGATTCTCGAATGGGCGAGTCGTGTAAACCAGACAACATGAACATAAGCCCTACTGCGTGTCGTATTCGATAAATTCGTTTCGAGGCGCGGCATTCTCTGCGGCAACTTCGTATGGTGTACGGTAAAAATGTATCTCGAACACGAAGTTTTCCCATTTGGAGTCCATGTGAACAGTTTGTCATATTGTCTACTGCCACTACTATATTCAATAAAATCTAGTGTACGGTATACTGGAAAAGTATGACCGTATAAGTATGGAAGTATGGCGGGCGTGACTTTTTAAGCGTGCTCACCTTGCATAATCGTGAAGTGTGCAGCCTTCGTAATTACTTTCTGACGAGATCGGATGATTCATTCTATGAGAACGTCATTTCTTGTATAAAGGGCTTATGGGCCCCTCTATCCTTAGCCAACAAACAATGCCAAGACCCGGCAGAACAGAACATTTCCGGTCGGAAAACCGTTGAAAAGAGAAAGAGCTCCACGGGAGGTTCTACAAGGACATGAGTATTTTGTGGATACAGTTGCCTCCCTCCTCGCTTTCTAACTTTAAGTTTTTGCACAGACAAAACCTAGTAGCCAGGATTCAACACCAGGAGCTTGCTTTGAAATACAGTCTTGTGAATCGGAAATTGCCTTATTACAAGTACTTGCCGGAAGCCGTGCTCGAAAATGCAGGGCCTCGGCCATCATCAGAGACAAGAATATTCATGCGAATAAGCGTGATATTGTGCTGATGGATCGGGTACAGTCAAGGATATTTTTGGTCAACATTACGATTCCGTATGACGAGAGCTTTGTGAAAGCAGAAGCCGATAAGTAAAAAAAAATACATATCTGATCCTAGCTCACCAGGTGACCGACATGTGGGGTGGTCTGCCGACTGTAATTATTCCTGTAGCCGTCTCTGCGAACGGGCTAATCCAGGTCAGCCTCTCTGGTCATCTGAGGCAATGGGACTCCGTCACGGACCGCTTCGGGCTCAAATGCAGAAGGTGGTGCTTCTCGATATCACCTACATCGTCGGCCGGTTCCTTTTCCTTTCCTCCTAACCCTCGGCCGTTCGGTCTCTGCCGCCGAGGATGTCCATCTGGATGGACCTTTATTTATTTAACTATGTTAGTATAAAATAATATATATTTATGTATATACACACACACAAGAAACAACACACACACACACACACACACACACACACACACACATGTCGTTGAAAGTGGCAATCTGGCCTCGCCGCGATCATTTTCGGAATGCTGATTTTACTGTTTCGCAGACGCTGTAACATTGATGATGTTTATTTCCTTTGTAAAACTTGAAAAAAAAAGAATATCAGCTTGAAATTTTAGCACCCGCCAAGATTTTCGAAGCACTACAGCGCGATGGCAAGCCAACAGAATCCTAAAGCGTTATTGTGTTGAATGCGAATGGTGCTGTAAGCTCGCTGTTTGTATGGTATCTACATGCTGCTCGATGAAAAACGTTTGCAGAATTCTTTGAAAAGAGTGACTTTTGAGTCATTTGTAGATTGAGCAAACCTGCGGGCAAGCATATTGCTTATAACCGCCAGCGCCCTACGCTCAATCTCTATATCACAATCATCGCTTAAATCGCTTGTTATAAACTAACCAAGATACTTAAAAATATTAACGACATTTAGGGCTATACAATTGATGTGTACGAGAGGAACACGACGCGGCCGCTGTTTAGGTGCTGCAAAAACAAAAACTTGAAATAAAACAACGTATTTGCATTTCGATCCTTAGTTGAAGATAAGTATGGATGTCTACGGGCCACAGCTTCCACTTACCTTCAGGCGGACTGTGTGCTCGTTTGTCACATAATACTATAATAAAATCTAAGAATAAGTGATGATTTTTGTTATAACAGAACTCACTACAATATGCACTCAGTTTAGTACATACTATGCCTGTAATATTCTTATAAACAAGACTTGGAAAAACGTAAAAGGCTAATTCTCATATTGATATTTTTTTTCACATAACTAAACATACATTTAAAACTTTTTATTATACCTTGCCGTCTCTTAACGGAACAAGAACGGCGAACTGTTTCCACTGCGGTGGGCAGGACCAGGACTCCGCATCCCATACGCTGGTAACATGTCCCGGGTGGGAGCGGGAGCGAACAGTGCTAATAAGCCGGATCGGTCAGATCGGGCTTGGCATGGAGGGCCGTAGCCACTTTCTATGAATCCGTTATGGTGCCTGCTTGGAGACGGTTATAAACGGTGTTACTCTACCAGAAACGGGGCCTATGTGGTTGCAGATGTTCCCGGCGGGGGCCCCGAATGCCGAGATATGTAACTTCCGAGGAGGACGATGTCACGGAAGTGGTCCCGAGACATCTTGATAACATTGCGAGGGTGCTGGGGTCAGAAAGAACCGACCTCGGGAAGTGCTTCCAATATAGCAAAGCGAGAGATGGGCCCCGGTTTGAATTCCGAAAGAGATCCCGGGACCCCTCATATATACGCTGATGATGATCACCGTGGGGTATTGGCCGTTAAGAGTCTGGCATAACCTTTCTGTTGCCCCCGCAGCAGGAAGTATCCATGAGGATTTTCCCACTATAAAAAGGGGCCTATGTATAGGCTCTATGTAGGGCCAACATCCTGTTCTATCATCAGATACATATCACTGCAATGTCATTGAATTTATACTCGTATGCCAAATTTTTACATATTGGTCATTTTTACATAGTTTTTAGTCCCGTAACACCCCTGAATAATAAATTATCATTTAATAAACGAAGTATCACTAAAATCAGTTCAGTGGTTTCCTAGAAATTGGTGAACATACATTTAAAAACATACACGTCGTATATTGATCTCGTTTTTTAACTCTGAAACGTAGGAAAACACTTACATTGACACTAATATTCTTGTTTTACACACAGGCACTCAAGAAATCTAGTGAGTTTTTTTTGTATTATATTACTTAATCTTTAATCTAAACAATATAATGATTGTATTCTACACTAATATAATTGGCCATGAATTCGTGATTCAAAAAAAAAAAGAACTCATACTCAAACTTCGAACATCAAACACGCAATAACGTTTTTACAAGACAATTAATAAAACTTTTATTATTGAATCAGCTATGCCTGTGTTTTTATATGAACAAACATGTTATGTATAATAATAAAATTCCTAGTATGTAAAACTGCGTTGTGTAAAGCATACATACATACAAAACATACATACAAAAATTGCTCCAAATTAATCTGTAAATTTAATGTTTTTATTAATTTAATTAAATATAAATTAAATTAATATCATAAAAGCATACATTTAATATAAAGTTATAAATAAATTAATTAAAAATTCAGGCTTATAATCATTGAAGAACCATGGAACCGATACCAATAAGGTGGATGTAGTTTCAATTTAAAACATAGGCCGACATTTTTACAGACATAAAAAGAGTTTACATTTGTCACAAGCCGCGTCTACGTGCTGTTTTCGAGAGTCATTACGAATCATCTCGTACGCAGACTCGACGATTTCCAGCCTCCTGAACAAACCGGTTTCCGAAAAGGCTTCAGAACCGTAGACCACATACATACCCCGCGGCAGATTATACAGAATCAGAAGAGTAAAATCTGCCACTTTGCCTGGCGTATGTGGACTATGAGGAAACCTTTAATTCCTTCGAAATTTGGGCGGTGCTACAGTCGCTTCAGCAGTGCAAAGTTGACTGTCGGTATATCGAAGTGCTGAAGTGTTTGATAGCCACCGTAGCCCTACTGTGGCTACGATGGCTATCCGAGTACAGAACCAGTGTACGAAACCTATTCAACTGCAGAGAGGTGTAAGACAGGGTGATGTTATATCCCCGAAACTCTTCACCGCTGCATTGGAAGACGTTTTCAAGCTACTGGACTGAAAAAGATACGGTATTAACATCAATGGCAAGTACATCACTCACCTTTAATTTACCGACGATATAGTCCTTATAGCAGAATCGCTGGAGGACCGAAGCACTATGCTAATGATCTCAATGGTGTCTTCTACCGGATTGATGAACTGAACTGAAGGTGAACACGGACAAAGATCATGTTTAATATCCATGTCACATCTATTCCAGTAGTGGGAGCACTATGCTCGAAGTTGTCGACGAGTACGTTTACCTGGGACAAATAATCCGACTAGGTAAATCCAACTTCGACCGAGAGGT